AAGAGCCACTTTTTAGACCATTCCTCTGCACTATCCAGATCTTTTTGCAAGCTATTTTCCACATTTATTTCATTCACTTTTGAAAGAATTTTTGTATCATCTGCATACAATTCTGACTTATTTTTAAATATATTTGATATATCATTAATAAAAATAACAAATAATAAGGGCCCTATTACGGATCCTTGCGGAACACCACTGAAGACTTTGCGCCATGAAGAAACAACATCACCTTGGATAACTCTTTGGATTCTGTTTTTTAAAAAAGCTTCAATCCATTTTAATAATAAACTACTAATTCCATATGAAGATAGTTTAATCAATAGTCTTTTGTGAGCAACAGAATCAAAAGCTTTAACAAAATCTAAAAGTGCTTCATCTACCGAAATACCAATCGATAAATTAAATGAAATATAATCCAACGCCTCTAATAAGTTTGTTGTACAAGACTTCCCTTTAACAAAACCATGTTGTGACTTCAATATTAATTTATTTTTCATTAAATATGATTGTATGCAGTCTCTGACTATACCTTCCATAATTTTACAAGTAATTGACGTCAATGACACTGGTCTATAATTTGCAGCTTCTAATTTATCTCCCTTTTTGAATAGTGGTGTAATATTTGCTGCTCTCCATTGAGTTGGTAGTTCACTTTTAACAAAAGATTCTATAAAAGTTAAAGTTAATGGCAATGCTACAGAATTCGCACAATTTTTCAAAATCAACGGATGTATAGAATCAACTCCATATGTTTTATTGATATCATTATGTTTCAATCTACTTTAAACATCAAAACAATCTATATTAACTGCATTAATAATAATATCCCCTAAATTCTTGATTTGTGGAAGCTCTTCTGTAGAATTTATATGGTAAACACATCTTGAAATTGTTTATTTATAATTACAACAATTTCATTTTGATCATTTGTTATGCAACCAGTTTGATCTCTTAATGCTTTAATTACTTGTTTAATCGTTTTTTGACTATTCACATATTTATTTAGCAGTTTCGGATTTACCTTTGATTTTTCAACAAGATCATTTTCATTGTTACATCTTGCTTTACGCAATTCTATTTTCACACTTTTGCAAATATTTTAATATTTCATTACTTTATTCAAATCTTTCCAGTTCAATGATAAATTTTGAAAACGCAAATTTTGTTTTGAACGTACTAGAAGACTTACTTCATCAGTAAACCATGGATTATTTTTTCTTTTCTTTCTTGAATTTACGTCAATTATTGGAATAAAAGCATTACATGACTAATTTTTTCAATAAACAGATCATACATAAATTGAACTGATAACTCATCAAATAAATAATTCCAGTCAATATTATCAATACTTAGGCTTATATGGATAGTCACATTTACTGTAATCAAATTTATACTTTAGATAATTTTCCATTGCAATAGCATCAAGGTTAAATTTACAAGTTAAAACCAAATGTCCATGATTTATATTTCCTAGAACTGGATTAGACTCAAGTTGATAGACTCGTTAATTGTTTTTTGTAAAAATAAGATCCAAGGTATTTTTTGTAACATATTGTGCATTTTGAAAGGTTGGGATTGATACGTGTTGGTACAAAAAACATTTATATATAATTAATAAATAAATAAATTCATTTTCCACAGAATCTTCACCTACTAAAATATCGCTAACGTATCCATTCGACCATTTTACATTTGGAAAATTAAAATCACCAATAACTAACAAATCTGCAAAATTATTTTTTTCTACTAATTTACAAGCTTCTGTGAATATTTGACTCATTTCAAGCATATCTACTTGTTCGCTTGGTCTGTACACGCAACCAATTAAATATTTTTTATCATTTGCAACTATAATGATCCATATTTGTTCAATTTTACTTCTATTTAATATACCTTCGTTTACCTCATAAGATATTAAGTTGCTATCTATATATAGCGCACCCCTCCTCCTCTACGCCTATCCCCCCTATTTCATTTATACAAAGAATATTCTTCCAAATAAATTTCCGATGTCTCATTAAACCAGGTTTCTGTATTAGCAATTATTTGAGGATTTTTAAAACTGCATAAGATTTTAAATTCTTCAACTTTGTTTACTAAAGATGTTGCATTCGTATATAAAACATTAAATGATAACAAACTTACTAATTTTTTATGTTGTTGTGTTAAGTTGTATTTTAAATTTGACAATTCCATTTCCACGGATTGCATATCTAAAGGGCGAGTTTGCTATTCTTTCACCATTCATTTTGTCGCGTTTCTTTCTAAGCTCATAGTTTTCCATTCTCTCTGCTTCAGTTAAATCAGGCGAAATAAAAACCTCCTTGTAATCTTGCTTTTCCTTGTAATCTTGCTTTTCTCTTAATAATTTAGATTTTGCTAAAATTGGATTTCTCTCAGAATCTTCATTTAAAATCACTAATACTGGTCCCAGTTTTCCAGTTTGTTTCGTGTTTAGCCTTTTTTGGAATGTTGGGACGATTTCTACATTTATTTCATGAAATAGTTTACTAATTTGTTCTTTATCCTCCCCATGTTGTTCTTGCAATGTAGCTTTTTTATATGCAGGAAGGCCATAGACAATAATATTTTTTCTTCTTTTTTCTATATTTTTTTGCTCATTAATAGCTGCATTTACATCAATTAATTGTTCAACTGGGGATTTCGTTTTAGAAGAAAAGGTAGACCAATTTTCACTTGTTATAGCATCTGAGTACGATTGTTTTGGCAATGATTCTTGAGAGTCTTTTTCATCCTCTAGTACCACAATATGTGTTTCTAACCCTTTCTGCAGACAGTTTTCCATTTTTAATATTTTTTTCTCAAGTGCTTTATTTTTTTCTAACTCTATCTCAAGATGTCTCAAATACTCTAATTCATTTGTCTGTATTTTGGTATTAAGAAATAACAAAACTTTCGAAATTTTACCACACCAATCATGTAAGACTTTAGAGCCCGTATGATTTCCTGGTCCTAAACTTGGCCAATTTTCCTGCTTTAAAAAATCCATTTCCATGTTAGATTTTCTTTGTATTTATATCTCTAACAATGATGAGTTGGTCTTTGATAGGACGGCTACCACCCTAAATACCAGTGGATTACCTCCTGATCTCTGAACTTTTGAACAATGATGAGTTGGTCTTTGATAGGAGGGCTACCACCCTAAATACCAGTGGATTACCTCCTGATCTCTGAACTTTTTGAACTTTTAACCTCCTGATCTCTGAACTTATTACACAGAGACTTATTACACATGCACTAAAAAGTTTCAGTATGTGTTTTCTTCAATTAAATTAAATTTAATTTAAAAATTTTTTAAAATTTCAAAATGCTTCATTTTACAATTTTTTTTACTGATAAAACTTCCAAAATTTATGTTAAAGGTTAAAAAAAAAATTTAATAAATTTAATTCAAGTTACATGTTCGCATTACATATAACTTCATTTTAATTTCAGTTAAGTTTCAGGTAAGTTTCAGTTTTAAATACTGGTCTGAATAATGCACTTTTGTAGTTAATAAATGATGTCATGCAAAAAAGTTCTTTCAAACTCGAGTTTAAATTTTATGTTTGGGTTTTCCCTTTGCCATTAAGTTTTATATAGAAGATTTTTTTTTATAAAATGGACCAAACTTTAAACCAATTAAAAAAGAGTTTATTGATTGCGTGATAAATAAACTCTTTAAAAGCCCAACTTATATTTATTTTATTTTGAAAACAAAACTAATACTAGTGATATAAATATGACACGTAAATTTCAAAATTATACTGATATTTATTAAAAACAAGTTCTGCTAATAACATCTTAAAACCAAAAATACTATTTTTCTTCTTGGATTTAGTAAGAAATAGTAAAAATACATTAGGTTTCTTGATACATAAAAACAAAATATTTTAATTGAAGTAAAAAAAAAACAAAGCCAAAAAGCGGCAATCTTCATTTAATTACAATTTTTATTTTCTCAAAAGCCAGTTACTAAAATGCTTTAGGGTAGCACAAACGTTTTTTTATAAAGGGGAAAACCCAATCTAATTGTGTAGTAGTAAGTACATTTAAATCCCTTTAGGAAAATCAACCATAAACAAATTGTCGAGATGGTGCAAAACTGAGTAACTAGCATTGGATAATACTGCGAATCTACAGTACATTTTTTTTACTGGAGAAGTTTAAAACTTTATATATACATATATTTTTTTTTTAACTGATTTTGGGTTCATTTTAGTATAAAGAATATTATTCATGTTTTTAGTAATCTCAACAATAGATATTTGGTGTTAAAATTAATAATATCCAAATATAGTAGCCAATGCTAGTTACGTGGATTTGCACTATCCAAGCCTTCCTAGAAAGACATGCGGTTTTTCATCTCGTATGACCACAAAAACATTTTTTAATCTAGACAACTTGATCATGGCCGTTTGCGCTAGCTTTATTATATGCGTTGCTGAAAAAATTTTTAAATTTAAAAACTACATAAGAAATTAAAGTAAACTTAAATAGAAAACAATAATAATAGTTTAAATAATTTGTGTGTTACATATATATATATATATAATGTTAAATATTATTTTGTAAATTTTATATTGTAATTACTTGCTTTTCTAGTTTGACATGTTTTATTAAAACAATAATTCGTTCATTTTTTTTCAATTCATTTTTTCTTTTTTTCTCAAATTTATTCAAGCATAGTAAGGTTAAAAAATATTACTTTTAAAATGCCTGATGTTCTCATGCTTTTTAAGCGCAATTATTATTATATTAAGTTATAATATCTAATTTTAATTTATTTTATTAGTTCAAACCATTTAACTAACAAAGTATATTATTTATATATTATTTGTGTGTTATATATATATATATATATATATATATATATATATATATATATATATATATATATATATATATATATATATATATATATTCATAATTACATGCATTCATACATGCATATTTATATATATTAAAAAAATAATTAATAACTAGAGCATGATTACCATATGTAAAACTGTTTCGTTTGAAGGAAACTTCACAATATTATTACCACCACAACTATTTTCAGCATCCGACTGGGGTCGAAATCGACATACCACTTTAATGTTACACTCGCTTGGGTCAGAAGCCATTGTGAGTGTAAAACTTTATATCCTGACATCAAAAATAAGTATTACATAAAACCATTTTTAAATTTGATTCAACTTGTTGTGATGTTAACACCAGTTAGTTTATGTCTATCTAAAAGAAATGTTCTTTATATACATATATATATATATATATATATATATATATATATATATATATATATATATATATATATATATATATATATATATATATATATACATATATATACATATATAAACATATATAAACATATATATATATATATATATATATATATATATATATATATATATATATAATATATATATATATATATACATATATATATATATATATATATATATATATATATATATATATATATGTATTTATATTATACGGATAGTGTATGTGTATATATATATATATATACATATTACACTCAATTACACGTAAGCATACAAAAATGCTAATAGCATCTAATCATAAATCAAATTATTTTAAACATAGATCCTTGATAATAATGGCAAATACAAAACAAAACTATAAACTGAATTAAACAAATTTTACTCGCTCAACAATAAATGTAATACCTATGATATAAAATCTGATATAATAACTTTGTCTATCAGTGAGTTATGTTTTGTTAAGAATTGTTTTGTTTTTTTCAACTTTGCGATTTTTAGCACGAAGTATTTTTTAAAAGAACGGTTAAAAAACTATACTTTTTCAAATCAAAAATTTGTGATATCTCATTAAGGAAGGCAGTCTGTTTATTTTAATTTAATTAAACATACATCGGATCAGAAAAAATATTTATAAAGAATAGGTAGCTACCATCTTCATCTAAGGAAACGCCTTATATTTAAAGTAATGGATTAACGTTTACAGACGATATAATCTCTCATAAAATCCCAAATTCGTACTACGTTTGAATGTGTCATTGATCTGATCTATTCTAGTGACGAGTGATCTTTATTATCAATGTTTTGATATTCATTTTCATTCTAATCGCAAAATTTATTTTTTGAAAATACTGGGTCGAGTTCGAGACGTTGGACATCCCGGGGATTTCTGCGGGTAAATTATGTTCATCTTGAGTTGAAATATGTAGAGAAAAAAGATATATACCAAATAGCAATATATAATACTAAATTTAACTTGCTTATGATTGTTTTACTCGTTAAAAATATCTATCAAAAAATATTACAAGTTTATAATGAAAGCAGCTTTTATTATTTTTATTGAATATATTGTAAAACTACGGCATCTAATACTTTGTAATAATAATAAAAGCTTTTGCTATGCATTTTATGGCAACTCTGTTTCCGAATAGCTTTAAAATTCAAGCTGTATACATGCACACTGTTTCAAAAATGCTGTTTTTATAAAAGAACAATCAATGTTTATCTAATTAAACCAAGAAATAAAATAATGATCAATTTAAGATTCAAAATTGTACACTATTTATAAATTTGAGGGGAAAAAACACACCTTCCTCAATTTTCAGATCACCAAACTTAAAAATCTTCAACTTTTTTTTTTTTTTTTTTGTAAAATGCAAGTTTTTAGAGTACAGTTTTTTGAATAAAAAAGTTTTTCTGGTTGTATGAATAAAAATTGTTTCCCTTAAGCTATTTTTCAAAATAAATGATGTTAAAAACACATTTTTATTTTTTACGAAACCATTACCAAAAACCTTAATATATAAAGTAAAATTTATATCAAGATTTTTATTATTCAGTTTGGAATTTTAGAAGAGTTATACAGCAGCTGGTTTCAAATTTCCTAATCTAGAGAAGAAGGAAAGAAGGACCTGGTACAAAGTTAACAATAAATTATTTAGAGCGTCTGCGCTTTGAAAAGAACAAATTAGCACTTTAAACCGATGTCATTAAATTTTGTTGTTATAGTAGTAATCATTTGAATTATGTAATAATAATCAATACCATCAAAAATAATAATAAATAATAAACGTTAACAACAACATTAAATAATACACGTTAAAAACGATAATAAATAATAAACGTTAAAAACAATGAGAAATAATTAACGTTAAGAACAACATTAAATAAAGAACGCTAAAAACATCACTAAAAAAATTTAAAGGTTAAAAACAAAACTTTATACCTATTAATTCTAACAAAAATGTATTTATTTTTTTTAATATTTGGTTTTGCAATGACAATGTAAACAATGTGTTATTGATTGTGACAATTATCACTAAACATTGGCTAAACTTACGAAACTTGTAACTTAAAACTTTTATTTCACAAATTTATGTTTTCTATATAAAAATATTTAAGTTAGAGAAAAATTGCATCATTTTTTTAGTTTATTATGGGTAATATTTTATTATGTCTTTATTTAAGAAAATTATTGTAATCACAGTACAAAATGGTTTTTTATTTTTATTTAAATTTTTGTTTAACAATTGTTAAACAATAGCCGCTGTGCATAGAAACAAGTTGAGTGCGGTACTTTTAGTTATGTAGGGTGGATTGGAATCAAGAACCTCCTAATTTGCGTGTGTGTGTTTTTTGTGGTTCCCAGAAATCCTTACGATATTATCACAGAGAACTGTGAAAGAGTATGTAACCGGGAAGTTCACGCATCATTCCTTACAAATGTCGTTTATTGTGCTAGAGCCGGCGTTAAACTTCGGGCTTTGAAAGGGGGAAGAGACAGCATATCATTTTTAACTTGAGAAAACGAAGTAAAAACAAACAAGTATAAATAATATGCTAAAATCAGATTTATGTATAAAGAGTTAGAAAGTTAATCGAGCTTTTATAGGTAATACAAATAGCTCATATAAGTTAAACAATTGGAAAAAAGTAATTAAAGTAAATATTACAGCTTAAATTTCATCTACGAATATTGTTTTATAAGTTTCATTCAAAGTTATGTAACCCACCAACAATAAAATCTTATCGGCCAAAGTAAGGTCTTTGATTTTAGAGGTTGCTCTTTTTTTTCGAAATGATAGCAATTCCTTAAACTTGTACATCTGTAAGAAAATGTTATAGAGTAGCTTTCTACAAACCTGTTAATAGAATTTTTATATAAAATTAATTAATTTTAAACTTTTCATATTCTTTTATTAATAGGTTGCTCTTTTTCAAAAAAAAGATTGTGATCTCCCACAATCTGATTTTATTATACAGTATATATTACTTATTGAATAATTGTTAACAATTTGAATAATTCTATTTGTATAATCCAAAGAAAGAAAGTTCTATAGAAGTCTATAAACTTTTGAAACATATGGCCTATAGAAATTCTATAGAGTTCTATAAAATTTCCTATTGAACTTTTATTCCTACTTTTTTTCCTAAAGAAAAAAAGTTTTATAAACGTTCAATAGAAATTCTATTTTCATTCAAGCCACACCCACGCTGAACCAGATTTTTGTTTGATGAAATGACATAGAGCTGTGTCATACCTTTTTGAAATTGTTAGAACCAAACCATTAAAGGAAAGTTAGTGAAAAAAATCATAAAACTAATCTTTAAAAAATATTTGGGTTTATGCAGGGGTCCAAACGGTTCCCAAACTTTGGTGCCCCTCTGGTTGATCATGAAACCAACCCGAGGGGGAAAAAGAACTGTTTTATATTTTGTTAAATAATATAACTAGTTATTAGTTGCCCCTTCTAGATGGTCTAAAAAACAACTCGAGGGGCACCAAAGTTCATCACCTATTTTGACCCGTGTGTATATGATCATTATTAAACTTTATAAATAAGTTTATAAAGAACGAATAATATATTTTACTTTAAACAAAATATCAAAAATCACTTTATCAATCTAGTCAAATATGTTTTCATTGAAAAAATAAAATAAATAAGCATACAAATATTGTACAGTAGTTTTATAGTTTTATACTGAACAATACAAAACAGACCGCAACTTATCATTACCACACGTGTAACCAAACTTCTTAATTCTGCATATTTTCATTTTGTTTTAACTTTAAAAATTGAAGTATAATAAACAACGCTTGTAAGTAATGTTAAATGGTATTTAATAAGGAACCTGTATAATATACTGTATATACTGTAATAAATATACTTTAATAGTCAGCATTTATATTTGTATTATATTATGTTATATTTGTATAGTGTTTTTGAAACATTTTTCAAAGAATTATTATATGGTATATAAATCTTTATATTTTAGGTATAATAAAAAGTGTGTTTCTCTGTGTTCTTAAATTGTTTTATTTTTCTAGATATAATGAGTTTATTTAAACCGACCTGTACTCATGAGGAAAACAGGAGAAAAGTGTGTTTATATTGTGCCAAAAAAACCAAATAAACGTAACGATATTAATGTACTGTGGATTAAAATTTTAGTGAATTTTAAATACAACATTAAAAATTCATTCTATCCTAAAGCTATTTGCGAATCTTGCAAAAGCAGTATAAGAAGAGGAAAAGAGGTTTACAGGTAAAGTGGAATAAAATGAAAATACCAGTTCAAACTAGAAGTGTTTTTGTATGTAAATGCGAAATATGTATAATTGGATCTACTCAAGGGAGACCTAAAAAATTCAAAAAGGGACGTAAATGTAACGCGCAACCTCTAGTTAATAGTCTAACTTGTCAAACTTGCATTTCAATTATAAGCAAAGGAGGTACCCACAAATGTTCTTTAGCTGTACTTAAATGTAATGTGATGCAAAAGCTTGCAAATAATGTCAAGACAATTGAGCAAATAGCTTATTCTTTAATAAAAGACAAAATAGACAAAAAGGGTAAAGCGATACTTGCTACTGGTGGTAAAAAAGCAAGTTTTACACTTAAGAGAAACCATGATACTAGTAATATACAACAACTGTCTATAAACAGTATGATTGACATACAATCAACTTTAGAATTAAGTAACACAAAAATTTTAAAGCTAGCAAAAGAATTACGATTCAAAGCACAAAACAGAAAAGTTGTACAATTAGGGTTAGCAGCAGAGCTCAAACGTATTGACCAGCAACTTGATGATTGCTTTGTTGAGGATTTTGAACTTTTTAATATTAAATCTGTAGATGAAAAAAGTTTGTTTAAATCCCATTTATCAGATGTCAATGAGTTTCTGTGGCAAATAATAGATAAAAAAGGAGCCTATCCTCAAAACTAGTTAATAAAAATTTCCATTGACGGAGGTCGGGAATTTCTTAAGGTAACTTGATTTTATAATGTGTCACTTTTTTTTCTAAATAAAAATAATAATAAGTGTAATTTTTTTTTTTTTTTTTATTTATTTGAGTTTTCATGCTATATTTTTCTATACAAAGTTCTTATATCCGAAGATTGTTGGCTTAGTATAGGAACAGCCACAAATAGTCATTAAGATTAATCCAAAGTAGCGTCCGTTATTGACCAACATTTTTGCGTGCGATGTACTACTCAAGCGCTGAGTTGGCGGTGGCGGGGTTTGAACTCTTATCGTTCAACAGTCCGGGTTTTAACTTTTCCTTTGACATTCTAACCATCTGAGCTATCCCGCCACATAATTTATTATAAAATATTCAGGTTTGCTTAAATTTTGTATCAAATCCGAGTGAAACAATTAAAAACAAAAGGAGAAAATATGGAGAAATTAAATCACCAAATTTCAAGGAAGGATCTGTGAAAGCATCATTTATTATAGCACTGGTACCAGATGTACCAGAGACAAACCATAATGTTAAAATTCTGCGTAACAAACTCTGTTTGAATAAAATAAACTTTACTTGTGTGGCAGATATCAAACTCTGTCAAGTCATGTGTGGTATGTCTCCGAGTTGCCGGTTTTTAAAAATGAACACTTGGGTCAGTATACGAACACTAGTATACGAACACTTGGGTCAGTAAGATTAAGCAGTAAATTGTATAAATTGATCGGATCAAAGAAAATTAGAGCAAAAGAATATTTTAACTGAATTGATGAAGTTCTTTTAATTGGTGATGATCTAGTTGTTAATTATCTTTCTCCTCCAGAA